TCACTGAAAGGTATGTCACGTGAAAAAATGCGAAAAAGTGTATCAATTTCATATTTGTTACTTATGCGGCAATATTTTCTTATTGTTGCGGCGATTCGCTCAATGTTGTTACGTTACGTACATGTATTGAATACAACTGCATTTGAACTTTATTCCCTGTGGATTTCAGTGATGGCTATTGCTCTGATGCAATTACAGTGAATTTTATCGTCGTTTTCATTGCTATAAAATGGAGATTATGACAGAAGCTCTTGATACTTCAATTCTCATTACTCAACGATCGTTGTATTAGAATAAGCTATGCACAGGTGTCACTATATCTAAATATATACTACCTATGAAATATTAAGTTGGATCCGATTCACTGGTTGAATAGTCCGCAATGTACTCATCGATATCGAGTTTAAATACATCATTTGACTTGATAAAATACGACTTATCAAGCAGAACAATATTGACAATTATTAATACTGTGTCATTATGATCAACTAAGCAGTCGTGACAGGAGAAATGCTTCAGTTGTTTCAAAATAGTAAAATTATTATATTCACTAGCAAGATATTACGAGATTGAATGAACGATGGATTCTAATGTCATAGAATGAGTTAATTAAATGAAAAGCTGATGAGCGAATAAAGTTATTGATTTATGGATGTGCTGTTAATGAAGTGAATAGTTGCTGCTTTCATTCAGAAGTTGATTTATGAGTGTAGGATGAATGATATTTGACTAGTCATTATGTAATGTTATAATATCAAATCGCAAATGAGTGGCCATCACTGTTGTTGTTTAATGAAAACGAATAGAAAATTGCGTTTGATGAGGATAATTGTGGATTATAATTACGATAATCGACTGATGAATTAATAAAGATGTGTCGAAATTGAGATGGACCTATTAACGAAACTCATCATTTCATCATTCACTTCTTTGATACCATTCAAAAATTGCCTGAAATGCGATCATTTTGAGGAATGAAACGTTGCCGAAATGCGTTGAATGATTGGCATCCGTCAATTCATAATTTTCATAATATACATCATTTGCATCGTTAATATGACATTCCATATGATTCCACTATTTCCATAGAACATCACAAAACAAGCGACTTGTCATTTTCACTGTACCATAAAGAGTGCTTTCTGATTGATTGGTTGAACGAAATGAAAAAGGATCAGACTGTAATTGCAATGAAGCCATTCAGTCTGCAGTATCAAGGTTGGATGAATTTTCAGACGAGGTGACAGGGAGAGAACGTTCAACTGAATGATTTGAGGTATAATTGGATGACAGTTGAATTGGTTGGTTTGAGTGAATGCCATAATAAACTGTTAGTTGAACGGTTTGAAATTGAAGGTATTGATAACAAAGTGAAACCTCTGGAATGGTAATGTATAAGTAGACAAAAAGCGATGAATAGTTAATTCCTAGATTGCATCTTCGCCAGTGTTATATTTATTCGAGAAAAGTTGCTGAGTTGCAATAATGCTGTTTTCTTTAGAACGTTGCAAACAAAAGTGATAAATCGTTTGACGGATACTGACCTCTGCAAAAGTCACTTCGCAATGATTTACAATCTAATTTTGTAAACACCCAATCGCGACACACAATTCACTGAACTCATTTCCTCCTTCGGTCACTAACTATATCGAATGCTACTACCATTTAATGAATTATACCAATGCACTATGCTGAATGCATTTTCGAGTGCATTCGATTAGCCTTTGAATCAGCGATTTTTATAGCTGCTTATGATCTCTTTGGAAAGTGCTCTGAATCTTGAACTTTATTTGAGAAACTCGAACAATTTCATGTTAGATCTGCGTGCTACATATAGTGACCGAAGCACACTATTAAGGATCCAGTTATGGTATTAATGCTTAATTCAGCAATCTATACTGAGATAGCCATTTGAAGTGGGAAAACTATACCGAGCGTAGATCCCGAAAACTGAGTACTGACCGAGGTAATTTGCAAGCAGAATGTGCCAATCAGTGCCTGCTGACTCTATTTGACCAACGAATTTCAGCTAGAAATTGAGGTGAACATGCATTAAGTGGTTATTATATGTGTTCGATGGACAATTGCTCATAATTGTACACGATAATTGTGTGTAATTAGACAGTGAATTTGTGAATGAGATTATAATAATGGTCATTATTGTTATTGGTGCGTTGAATTGTATTGTAGACAGCTGATTTTGCATTCATTTCATTAGTCCGCTTATTTGTTACTATTATTGGTGTATTGTTAATGCTATTGTTGTCCTATTAATGGTGTGTCATTGTTTATATCAGTTCAACACATTCTGTTACACAAACACTNCTCTGCATAATTCGTCTTATTCGATATTGTTTATGTGTGCATAGTTCATTATCAATTGCGTGCAAGTACACTGCTATCTGCTAGCATTGTCGACCTCTGCAACAGAATTTTCACATCAAAACATAAACATTCGAGCATGTTCATGAATCTGTTCACAATCAGAATAACAACACAAATTCCCTCAAAGTGTTCACCCATCGTTACGAGTAAATAAAACGACAACAACATGACAAAACAGACGGACGGAATTTATATAAACTGATAGGTGATACATGGCAAGATAGTAGGATCGATGATATGAGAATAACGCTGAGAGATATTAATATGAGAGGTGGAAATGATGAACGATGAAAGGCAAGACACGCGATGTGAGTTGTTGTTAATCTTTGAGTGAGAATAGATTCTTTAGTTCACCTTATCCAATTATTGCATTAGGATCAACAAGACTGATTTTTAGATAACGAATGACAGTTTTACTGTTCACTCGTTACTGTCATCGATCATCACGTAGTTTGTCATCAAATAATTATACTTGATAAATCTTATTCCACATCAACGAACGACGTTTCTTTCCTCTTGCGTGACTGCGTTTACTCAAGAATGCATCGCTTTTTCATGAGGCGACAATATCCACATGCAACAGTTACAATCCGATGAGATTGTAACTGCTAAATTGATCACATAACAACACGCAAATTCTCATGCACCATCTATTTGGAAATATGTTCATTTTATTCTAAATATGATATTAGAATGTTACTTAAATAGGATATAAATATAATGTTACCTATTCCTAAATATGACATTAGAAACTGATATTGTTGCAGTTAGGGAAACAAAATCAGTGGCGGATGTAAGCGTTATAAATTACCAGGAATAAACTGCAAGACTTTTGAAAGCATGATAAACTGCAAAGCCACTAGATTCCTTGAAATTTCAAGGTGCAGTCAACAAACTTAGTTCAAAGCGATTGGACAAGTGAAATCTTCTTATAAATTGTCAGCAATCCAAATACCCCTCGACTTATCCTCACAACTCAATCAAAACGTCTTGTTCGCATCACTGCAATTCATTCC